TTCTGTTTTCAGTTCTTGTATAAGTTTTTGTTTTGGGTTTTATAGTGTAGAGTGTAGTGAAAAAGAACAGGGGCCTTCTTTTGTCTTCTCCATTTGAAGTGTAGAATTTAATCAACAATTCTCTGAACACAAGTTGTACAGACGGTACAATAATAAAATTTGATGCAAGGCTTGCGTTTAGAACAGAGCCTTTTTATCTGTTTCGCTCAATTCCTTTGCTAATAACTAAACTAAAATTTACTCATCACCATCACTTTTCCTGCAAATTAATGAAGACCTATCATCATATTAGAGGATACACAATGTTTGCACACTCTAAACTCATCTTCCTAAAAGCTGAAAACTTCAGATGAATGCAATGTGAGACTTGACAAAATAAACACAATCAGTGTAAAAGAAAACAACGAAGCATATAAGTTAATCGAAAAATCGAACCAACATGTATTCGTTTATCGAATATTCGGCTATCGAAAAATCGGTACAATACCTCAGTTTTTCGGTATTAACCTGAAAAAAAATGCCAATTTCATTTCACTATTTCACTGAACAGGCGGCACCTCAGTTCTCAATAAACCATCCAAATTCAATACATAACAAGTATTTGAACTATGCAAGTATAAACCAAATCCAACAAATTAGAAATCAAAATACTTAATTGAGAACTTAAAATGGGCTTTGCTTACATGTATTTCGTGAAATATTCAAGCCAAGATAAGGCTTCTGTTGGGCACACCTGACGGTTAGACAACCATTTTTTTTCAACTTATGTACATATTCTCAAACTAAAATGTCTTGCTCTAAAATGAAACAAACCACAAACAACCCCTTATCAAACAACAAACATTTAAATAGGCATGCAACTAACAAATATATCAAATCACATAAAAACCATTTAAGTGTAGTTTTTACCAACCTCATGGGCGTAAGGTTTGCAGAATTTATATCAATATTAACTTTCAGAACTGATAAACAAAACCATTGCTACGTATAGTACTAAGCTAGCCACTCAAATCCAAATATTCCAATAATCAATTAAAAAAAAAACAATTTTATTAATAATTTCTCCCAAAATGGTAGGTTCACAACCATACAAACACCAATATTGGCAAGCTGTATTTCCTACTAAAGTCCCACCACCTTCATTTTCCAATTATAGTTCACTTTTTTCGGTTGACAACAGTGTGGAATCAATTGGTGGTGGTGATTTTTGTGCAACTCTTTAGTGGTAATTATGAATTTTTGAAAAAAATTGGAGTCTTTTAGTGCATCCATGTGGCTTTTCTTCTCTTTTCTTGCAAGCCTAAGTGGGATCGGTCAAATATATTCCCTTCATTTAATCATATAAATATGTCTTTTCTATAGTGGAGCCAAGAAAATTTATCACACATCAAATAATTGAAATTCTTTCAAATTTTTCAGGTGCCACACTCGAGTTATTCACCAAAATACGATTTGATAATGCTTCTATATCTCACTTATTTTCTTATATAAATAACACTTTCAGAAAATTAAACGAGGTTTACTTGTATTTTTTTTGTACCTACATTTAAAATTAAGCATATGATTATCAACAACGAACCTAATCACCATCAAACACACCTGAACGAGTATGTATATAAGTACGTGTGATCAAATTGGTAAAACCTATTGACTCTTCCCCAATAATAACAAGTGCATGTAAAAAGCAAATTGATCGGATTATGTTAAGATATTTTTTACATATATTTCTTTGTTTTATTTAAAAAAGTTGGTGAATTTTAATAACGATAGAAATGGACAAAAAAGTCAAAGCTACGCATAGTAACAATCAAATAAATTTCTCAATTTCTGGATTTCTTTTATGACTCAATTTGATATATTTTATTTATCTACTAAATGTAGACTTTTCTTATCTACATTTGTCGTTGCATAACATTATATTCTTCTCATTTCTAAAAGAACCGTCAAAACCCTCAATTATCAAAACAATCATACCATAAACCTACCTATTCTATAGTTACAAAATTACAAAAGTTGCAGATTTCGAACAAGACAACCGACACTAAGCAATGAAAAAACATGATATGGGATTAATTTGATTGAATGAAAAACTACGAAGTATAATAATAAGCTACACAATATCATCTATCGTTGCAACAAATTAATCCTTCAGTCTCTTATTCTTTAACTAAAATTTAATCACATGTTTACTTTCACCATATATAGAATTAAGAGTGTACGACCCATGGTACTCGTTAATTAAACGAGTTATTGATCAAACTCGATCTTTTTACTAATAAATCAAGCACGAGTCTAAACAAGACGAATTATAAAAAATATTTTTTTTTTAAAATTACATAAAAAATTCTTTCATCAAATCTCATCAAGTCGAGAACGCAAGCGAGCTCACAAGAAGTTCGTGATGTTTAACTCTAGATAGAATACATAATCTTATTTGTACACTAAAATTAATTAAGTTGAATACCTTTCCAACCTTGATAAATTTCTCAAGCTAATTAGGGTTGCAAGACATCTAACAAAAATGACAACTGTAATTAGTTTAAGATTATAAAAATAAACCAAAAATCCAACAATATTAACCTTATAAAAGATAATAAAAGTTATATATTCTTGAACCAGAACATACCACCAAGAAAATCAAGCTAATTAGGGTTTTGCGCCTTAAGTTTTCCACATCACTAAACACCCCAAACCTTAACCACCAAGGAGCTAATAAATTACCTAATTAACCAACTAATACTTCTAATTAATAACAGATAAAGGAATAATCATCGAACCCCTCGCTGACGACGAGGACGACGACGACCCGGCCATCATCGTGAGCCCCCCGCCGTCATCGCCCGTCCCCGCCGCCGGAGGCGGCGACGGCTGCTGCCTCTGCGGCGGCTTCCTGCGCTTCTTCTTCTCGTAGACGATCCCCCTTGCCCGGGCCTGCGAGTCCCTGACCTCCCGGAGGTACAGCCGGACGGCGCGCGCGCCGAACGGGTTGGCCTCCGGGCGGCCGCCGTTCTCCTCGAAGGCGGCGCGCAGCCGTCCGACGAGGGCGTCGAGGCTTCCCCAGGCCTGGCGGAGCGGGCAGGGGCAGGGCGCCGGCGGGTGGGGGCTGCCGTAGAAGGGGCAGCCGGCGGCGTGTACCTTAGTCTTTCCGAACTGGTCGAGGTAGCGGAGGAACTCCAGTATGTGGGCCCCGCTGCAGCGGGAGAGAACTAGCGGCGGCTTGTGGTTGCGAAGGTACTGACCGAAAGTGTTCCAGTCCCGGCGCTTCTGGGACTCGTAACGGCTCAGGGACGGCGGCGGCGCCGCCGCAGATGGCGGAGGCGGGTTCTCCTCCGAGGTGGGGCTGAGGGAGTAGGCGGACATGGTGATGGCTGGCGGTCCTCTGTATTGTATGGTTTTGTGATGAGCTTTGTAATATAAGTTCTTGATGATTTAATGTAATCAAGAAAGGTTTTTTAGGGTTTTTTGGGAAGTGGGTTTTGGAGATAGAGAGGGAAATTGGATGTGTTTGTGTATATTTGTGTGTGTGTTCGGGTTTAGGGGAAAAAAATGTGACTTTTAATGACAAGGGGAAAGGAAAGGGGTGATCCTTTTAGAAAGAGAGAGAACAAAGTTGCCTAATATAAATTGAATGATACTATCCCTCTAAACTATTCTCAGACTTGTTTATCACTATTGACGAGTCGAGTTCGAACTTTAACGAACCCATCTCGAACTTTAATGAATCAAATTATAAAAAATTATATAAAAATTATCATTTACAACCTTAACAAACCTTATCGAGTTAAACCGATCTCGGTTCGTTAACCAAAGCAGCTCTAAATGAGTTCGAGCTCGAGCCGAACTTCGATGAGCTCGAGCTGAGTCGAGCCAGACTCATTCAATTTAACAACACAAAATGATTCAAATGTTATTTGGGGCATGTGGGGATTGATGGCGTGATAATTTTTTGAACTTTTAACTTAAACTTCAACTCAATTATAGTGAAACTTAATTCTCTTATTTTTTAACGGTATAATTAAATAAGGTCAATTAATCATCGTTACTTATCACATCAACAAATTTTACTATTCATTCAATTACATATTTTTAATTAACTATCATTTTTATTCACATATTTCGTACTTTTATATCAAAACAACTTTAATCAATATATTTTAAATATTATTTACAAACTCAAAATCCAACTCAATGCTCAACTCAATCAACTTTATTCAAAATTACTCACTTTATCAAATAAATTATATCAAAACTAAAATAATTTACTTCCAATCACCCCCTATAATAACAAAACAAAGATGTATGTTTATATATAAAATTTCTTATAAGGCAGTCTAACCATTATTTAGGTCGACTCAGCTATACTATTTGAACAAAAACTAATTATTTATACTACATAATTCTATTTATGTTGTATTTAAAATATGACATTGTATTTTAAAGTGATATATTCAAATAATAATACGCATAATTGTACAAACAATAAGTTAGTCTAATTGTTACATCACCCTAACACATGATCAATCCATATTTATTTTATAAAATGACATAATTTTATTTATATTATTTCTTAAATCATTACATTTTTATTTTCAATCATACATGTCTATCAAAAAAGTAGGATTCTAGAGAAGATTGAAAAAATAGTGGAGAGGACAATAATTAAATCAATAAATGCAATTCTTTGTGTTTTTTTCTTTTTTAGTTATTATGTGTTTTTTGTGTTTGATATATGTGATAGAGGACAAGAAAAAGGGGGCCCTTTTAGCACAAGTGTGGAGAAGTGATGACAGTTTGAATATCACTTCAATTCAACCTGTCCTCTCATTTTAAATTTTAATTTTTAATTTAATTTTATTGTTTTATAGACAATGTTATCTGGAAAGAATTCCAACTTTGGCAGTAGAAATATTGTTGCAGTGTTGGGTTGCATCAGAATCATCACTCTTTTATTTATTTTTTTGAACTTTGCTTCTTTCTTTGGTAAAAATTCTTTGGATGTGTACAGTGGTTTGACCAATTAATTTTCTTTGTACTATCATGTTTTATTTTATTTTATTTTTATGTTAGAAAAAGTTTTCATTTATCACTCTAAAAAGATTGATTTTTTTATTAAAAGAAATTAAAGAATTACTCATGATGTGGTTAATTATATATGAAGAGACCCCTGCAATAATGTTGTTAATTATTGCCCATTTTGGCAGTAAAGCAGTTTGCTGTTTTTGGTTGGAACAAACAATTTGTTTTTGGAGAGGTCCTTCTAAATTTGTGGCTTGCAAAGTGAATTTGTTACTGAGAGCCCTTTCAAAATCAGTCACATCTTTCACTCTATCACTAATAGCTAATTAGTACTAATTTGATATTGAGTGAAAGCCTGAAGCTCTTATATGTCAGTTGCACTATGGTGTGCCTAAGGTGTGCCAGGCCAAATTTGCACGCTTCAGCCAGGTAAAAAAAAAATGTTGAAAAGCTTTTTATTTAATGTGAAACCACGCGCCCGTTCAAATCACACCTTTAGCTCATTTATTTTTTTTCCCCAATTTTGCCGGCATCGTGCCTCGATTTTCCAACCGTCTTCTCCCCCAACTGCAACTCCTCTTCATTCTCATCATTGTTTTCTCTTAATTTTCTCTGTTTCACGAGTAAAAGTTCCCGGAGAAGACAATTTTAACTGAAAAACGCTCAATTTCCGACGATCCCTACTTCACAGGTAAGATTTCTTTGCTTTTCATGTAGATTAAATTCAATTTCATAGATTTTAAATGTTAAACTTAGAAATGAAAAACCCTACTTCATGGCAAATGGAAAACGAGACATTGCGGAAAATACTGGTATGTATTTTGTGCCTTGAGTTGAAACCATTCCGAGTAGAGATTCAATTCACTTTCCAAAACCCTATTTTCAATTTCAAATTTCTGTGCCTAGAGTTTAAAGTAGTCATTGCAGAAGATTGTATAATGTGTTATTAATTTTTTGCCACACAGGATAAAATTAAAGCCCGTAGGAAAAATAGTTCGAAACAACGGCCAGAAAATGTTGGCGAACGGTATGTCCGCCTTGTTCATCTTCATTCGTATATTGGTTCATTTGAACATGTTCAATTTGCTTTTAAACATATTCATTTGTTTATTAAACATGTTCATTTCGTTGTTATACATGTTCAAAGAACATCTTATATAGAATGTAGACATGTTCATTTTGTAATTGAACATGTTCATTATACAATAGAACAAGTTCATTAAATACTGAAACATGTTCATATCATACTGTAACATGTTCATGATATTATTTTTATAGAAAAAGTTCATTTTGTTTTTAAACATGTTCATTTTGTATATTAACATGTTCATTTTATATATAAACATGTTCACATCATACTGAAATATTGTCATATTAAATGGGTGCTTAGTCTTTTTGTTTTGTAAAAGTTCAGAGCACATATCATATAGACATGTTCATCATACAATTAAACATGTTCATTACATACTAAAACATGTTCATATCATACTGTAACATGTTCATTTTATATTTGAACATGTTCATTATACAATTTAACATGTTCATTTTATACTGTAACATGTTCATATTATACTGTAACGTGTTCATGATATTATTTTTGTAGAAAAAGGAAAACTGATACTCTGAGTGAGCAAACTGAAAGAAAGAAGCCAAAATTAACCTCTGAAATAAAAGAAGAAGGGGGATTCTTAAATAGAGTTTCCCCTCTAGCATTGTACAAATTTTTCAAAGACTTGGATGACCGACAGAAAGAAGATGTAAAGAGTATAAGTTTTGGTCATCTTCTCGACATGAAGATTACACAAATTGCGCCACCAAATCTTTGTTATTTCTTGGTTAGAAAGTACAGGTAATTTGTGAAATTTGATTTTCATTAGAATGTACATGTTATTTTCATTCTACAACATGTTCATTTTCTTATTAAACATGTACATCACATTATATCACATGTTATCACAGGTATGCCAGTAACACTCTCATTCTCCGCGGTAATAGAGAGATGAATATTACCGCCGAAGATGTTGAGGCTGTCCTGGGCCTACCGAGAGGACCAAAAGAGGTCATTGAGGGAGATTGGTATGACAAGGATGAACAATATAATAAGATGCTTGGGGATTTGAGGGAGACCTTTGGTTTTAAGCGTACAGCTGGAGCTCCAACAGCCAAAAAGCTGGTGCAATATTTAACTGGAAAGGACGTTGAGAGAGGACAGAGAGTCTATGGAGATGACTTTAAAAGAATTTTTGTGATAGCTGTGGTGTCCCTATTTCTCTGGAGAAATAGGGGCCAAGAATGCAAGTTAAGATTGGTCAAATCGTTGTGAAAACCATCTGACATCATCAATTACAATTGGTGCCAGTATGTGTTACAAGCTCTTTCTGAATCGGTCAAGATATGGAATGAAAGTGGTGGAGAGGCCCATTTTAATGGTCCACTCACTTTCTTGGTGTTATGCTATCTGGACAGGGTCCAGTTTATGAACAAGACTTATGTGCCCCGGAAATTTCCTGCTATTGCTTATTGGACAAATCAAGCAATTTCCAAGAGAGTTAGGGAAGAGCAGAGTGGCCAGGGTTTTGGGATGGGGTTAATACTTAATCCCATTAAACCACCAAGAAATGGAGCGCATCAAGCAGCCACATTAGCTGATGAACATGTGGTCGAGGTAAATTCTGTTCATAATTTTCTACAACATGTATATATTATCATACAACATGTTCACAAAATAATATAACATGTTGATCTTTATTCTGAAACATGTTCATCCCTTCATACAACAACTTCATCCCTTTAACCAACACGTTCATCTCATTATAAAAAATGTTCATATCATAATGTATCATGTTCATATAATAATATAACAGCTTCATCTCATACAAGTTTTTTTCCTAAAAAGAAACAGCAAGAAGATTTGGTTGAAAGGTTTGAAAGGGCTATGACAAATACAGCACCATTCGTGTCTGAAGTTCGAGAGGTGTGTGAAAGGGCAAAGAGCTCAGATTTCAGTATTGCCCTCATTATTCATCATGCACTTCAGAACCATGCATCAGTTCTCATGAAAATCGCACAAGGTGTTATTGATGTGCAAAGAAATGAAGGAATTGATGATGAAATGGGTTCTGATAGACAGGAGCGGGAACAAGATGCAGGTAACATGTTCATTTCATTATAAAACATGTTCATCTGATTGAATGACATATTCATTATCTTAAACATGTTCATCTCCATATTTAACATGTTCATTTCATTCTTAAACATGTTCATCTGATTGAATGACATATTCATTATCTTAAGCATGTTCATCTCTATATTTAACATGTTCATTTCATTATCTAGAAAATGAGGATGAGGAGTCAATTCATGTAGAGGTTGGGAATGATGTTTTGGTGCAAGAACAAGAAGGAATTGAGAATGAAGTGACAAATGATCAAGAGGAACAGAAACAAGAACAAGAAAAGAATGGAGGTAACATGTTCATTTCTCTCTCAAACGTGTTCATCTTATTGCATTATATATTCATTATCTTAAACATGTTCATTATCTTAGAAAATGAGGAAGAGAAAGAGGATGATGATGTGCAAAGAAATGAAGGAATTGAGACTCAAATGGCAACTGATGGACAGCAAGAAGCACAAGATACAGGTAACATGTTCATTTCGTTCTTAAATATGTTCATTTTATTGAATAACATATTCATTTGGGTCTGAATATTTATTTATTCATTCTGACGGTGAAGGAATTCCATGTGAAGGAATTCAATCTATTTTGTCAGATATTTTCAATGAATATGGGGATGGAGAAGACAGTAATAAGGAAGTGGATGAGGATGATGTTGTGGTGCAAGAACGGGAAGGAATTCAGAAAGAACTTGCAAGTGATGGACAACAACAAGCACAAGATACAGGTAACATGTTCATTTCGTTCTTAAATATGTTCATTTTATTGAATAACATATTCATTTGGGTATGAATATTTATTTATTCATTCTGATTTTGAAGGAATTCAATATATTTTGTCAGATATTTTCAAGAACATGGGGAGGGAGAAGAAGACCGAGAAGAAAACACTCTTGAAAAACATGATCTGCAAGGAGATGCTTCAGTGGCAGATGAAGAGATAAGAGAGCGGACTCTTGAAAAAAATGAACTGCAAGGAGATGCTTAAGTGGTAGAAGAGCTAGGAGAGAAGACACCTGAAAAAAATGATCTGCAAGGAGATGTTTCGGTGATAGAAGAGCTGGGAGAGAAGACTCCTGAAAAAAATGATTTGGAAGAAGAAGAAGAAACTAGAGGAGAGAAGACTCCTGAAAAAAAAAGATTTGGAAGAAGAAGCTAGAGGAGAGAAGACACCAAAAACTCCATTTGAGAGAAGATTATTATTTGAAAAGTATATATTTTGTGCTAGTCAAACATTCAACTTGCAAATTGACAAATTAACTAATATTATGAATATTACAAGATGGTTCTTGGAGAAAAAGGCAATAAAGAAAGCGATTTGGATCCCCCTTTCCTATCAACTCCCTTGTGGAAAGGGCATGTTGAAATCAGAGGCAAGTGCACTCTGAAAGAAAGAGCATTTTGGAACTTTATAATGGAAGGGACAACGACAATGCTGAAAAAACCACGTATGTACATTTTATTCTGTAACATGTTCATCCGGTTGTATGAAATGTTCATTAAATTATATAACATGTTTATCTAGTTGTATACAATGTTCATTATATTATATAACATGTTCATCCATTCTTTGTATAACTGTTACAGAGAAGTCATCTTTAAAGGATTACAAATGGCCTGCACAAGAGAGGATTTCAAGACCTTCAAGCTTGGAGAGTATATTTCAACAACAATTGTTGGTGCTTGGGCGATGCACTTGAATTTTAGATTCCACAGCTTGAATAAAAATAAGAATAAATTTTGCTTAACAACTAATGTCATGGTAAGAATCCATATGTGATGAACTACTAACACCTCGCTATATCTGTTACACTAAACATTCGACATACTTTCTAGATGGGATTGTCCTTACAAGCTATGAGTAACAGAGATGCGAAGGAATATGTGAGGGATGCAACTGCAAGGATGGATTTCGAGTTCACAGAAGAATGGCTTTCACAGCATGATATCAAGAATATCAGCCATGTGAGTGATATAACATGTTCATCTCATTATAAAACATATTCATCTTAGTGTTAAACATGTTCATCTTACATTGGTCTGTTCCATTTTTTAGCTTATTGTCCCAGTCTATTTTCAGACTCATTTCTACCTCTACTGTTTGGACTTTGAAAATAAAAAACTAGGCATTCTTGATAACTTGGATACAGTGTTGAGTGGAAATGTGCCATTGAATAACAAGTATGGCGGAACTAAAGATTTCTTGGTAAGACTTGACTATTTCAACTTACATTCTATATAGTTTTTTTATTTTTTAACAAAAATAATTATTAATTTTGGCATCAACAAACAGAAAAAGGTAATTAAAGAGTACAGAAAAATGTACAAGAAACCCTTCAAGAGCCCGTTCAACAAGCTTACCTTGAAACTGGTGAACATGCACTGCGCAGATTCAACAAACACAACGGACTGCGGAATATATGCAATGCATCACATGTCAAAATATGTTTGTGTGCATGCAGATGGCCATGATTGCGCATTCCCTGTGAAAGGCAGTGATTCGGTAATATTTTTCATCCTAAATTTTTAATGTTTACACGAGTTGCATATTACAAGTCAAACTGATGTTGATTATATTGTCCATTTCAGAGGAAAAATGTCCACATGAAGAATAAGTTGGACACTCTGCGGGTGAAGTACTTGGCCAAATTGATCGAGTCTCCAATAAACTAGAAATCAGATGTTGTCCGAGAGGATTTGAGTAATTATTTCGCTGAAAAGACAATCGAGTGATAAATGAACAACTTTGATAGATTTAATGTTAGTTCTCTGTTTGTTCGGTTTGATAAACATGTTAGTTCTTTCTTTGTGTTAGTTCTCTGATAAGACAATTATTTAGTGTTAAACATATTCATAATATTAAGAAACGTATTAATTTTACAAAGTAACATATTCATTTTACAAATCAACATATTCATTTTACCAAGAAACGTGTTCATTTTACAAAGTATCATCGAGTCAAACTTAGTATAATCGAGTCAAATTCTAGTATAGTGGATTGAAACTTAGTATAATCGAGTCAATTCTAGTATGATCGAGTCAAATCTAGTATAATTGATTCAAATTCTAGTTTGATCGAGTCAATTCTAGTATAATCGGGTCAAACGTATTCATTTTACCAAGAAACGTATTCATTTTTCAAAGTAACATGTTCATTTTACCAAGAAACGTATTCATTTTACAAAGTAACATATTCATTTTACCAAGAAACGTATTCATTTTTCAAAGAAACATGTTCATTTTACCAAGAAACATATTCATTTTACAAAGTAACATATTCATTTTACCAAGAAACGTATTCATTTTACAAAGTATAACTAAGTCAAACTTAGTATAATTGAGTTAAACTTAGTATAATCGAGTCAATTCTAGTATGATCGAGCCAATTCTAGTATAATCGAGTCATTTCTAATATGATCAATTTAATTCTAGTATAATCGATTCAAATTCTAGTATGATCGATTCAAATTCTAGTATAATCGAGTCAAACTTAGTATAATCGAGTCAAATTCTAGTATAGTCGAGTCAAACTTAGTATAATCGAGTTAATTTTAGTATAATTGAATCAAATTCTAGTATATTCGAGTGAATTCTAGTATAATCTAGTCAAACTTAGTATAATCGAGTCAAATTCTAGTATGATCGAGTCAATTCTAGTATAATTGAGTCAAATTCAAGTATATTCGAGTGAATTCTAGTATAATCTAGTCAAACTTAGTGTAATCGAGTCAAACTTAGTATAATCGAGTCAAACTTTAGTATAGTCGATTCAAGCTTAGTACAATCGAGTCAATTCCAGTATGATCGAGTCAAATCTAGTATAATTGATTCAAATTCTAGTTTGATCGAGTCAAACTTAGTATAATCGAGTCAAATTCTAGTATAGTTGATTCAAACTTAGTATAATCGAGTCAATTCTAGTATGATCGAGTCAATTCTAGTATAATTGAGTTAAATTCTAGTATATTCGAGTGAATTCTAGTATAATCTAGTCAAACTTAGTATAATCAAGTCAAATTCTAGTATGATCGAGTCAATTCTAGTATAATTGAGTCAAATTCTAGTATATTCGAGTGAATTCTAGTATAATCTAGTCAAACTTACTATAATCGAGTCAAATTCTAGTATGATCGAGTCAATTCTAGTATAATTGGGTCAAATTCTAGTATATTCGAGTGAATTCTAGTATAATCTAGTCAAATTTAGTATAATCGAGTCAAATTCTAGTAGAGTCGAGTTGACATGTTCATTTTACAAATAAACATATTCATCATGTTAAGAAACACATTACTTTATACAAATTCAACATATTTAGGGGGTGATTGTTTATCAATTCACCCCAAAAAAACTCAATCAAAACTCAAATTTAACTCAACTTTAACCCAACTTCACTATCTCCAATATTACCAATATAATTAAATAATATCAACCAATCATTCAACCAATCATACTTACACATCACATCAACTTTAATTCACTATTCATTTTCTCACATAATTTTAACTAACCACCACTTCCAATCATTTTTCTCTTACTTTTACATCATATCAACTTTAATTATTTTATTTTAAATATTATTTTAATATATCCACTAACAACTAACCATACCAACTTTTTCAAAAGTAACTATAGTTAAAAAAAAAACCAATTAATTTCTAAATCAATTCATAAATAATCACCCCCTTATCGCGCTAATTAACATATTCATCTCATAACGTAACATATTCATCTTATAAGATGACATGTTCATTTTAAAACGTAAAATATTCATCTTATAAGTTGACATGTTCATTTTAAAAATAAACATATTCATCATGTTAATTAACATATTCCTTTATAGAATATCAACATATTCATCGCGCTAATAAACATAATCATCTCATAACCTAACATATTCATCTTATAATTTGAAATGTTTATTTTATAAATAAACAAATGCATCAAGTTAAGAGACACATTACTTACAAAATCAACATACAGCATGTGTAAAATCAACATATTTATCGGGTTAATAAACATGTGCATCTTTAAAAGACACATGTTCATATGAAAACAAAACATGTTCATAGAAAACAAAAGGTATCTTCATTTTGAGAGGCCATGTTCATGACCGGAGGATTGTATCCAGAACCTCTAGGATCATGTTGAGAATCTTTGTTAGGAGGAAAAGGATGCACAAACCGTCCAACAAATTCAGGGTTTGTAGAAAAGACCCAGTTAAACGTGGTGTTCCTATTCCTCAATGAAGCTTGTTTCTTGTGCTTCCCCTTTGATTGTCTTGAAATTTTCTCCACAGTACTTTTCCGTCGAATGTTTCGTTCTCCTCTAGGCCTCAATTTCTCTGGATCGTTAACATTCGCGGCAGAAGATTTCGCGGTACAAGACGGTTCATCTGTAGCTAATGAAGAAAAATGAGACTCTATCCGATCAGACATGGATCTCAAACATTCATCAACAATATCTTTGGCATTTTGATCTATTTCATTTGATGAAACAATATTCAGAAACTGGCATATTTTATCGGATCTCTAAAGGCATGCACCTGAAATGAACATATTTGATTCAGTAATGAACATGTTCTATTGTATAATGAATATCATGCACATGTTTCAGTAAGACATGAACATGTTTCAATATTAAATGAACATGTTCTATTGTATAATGAATATGTACCTGGAGCATGGTAACCCGCAGAATATTGGGTTCCCTCCAAGTCTAAACGACAGTTCAAATTGGCACTCCGACGCCACCTTGGATGTACATACATATCCGGAACTCTTTCGACATTAAAAACGATGTACACCCTAAGACAATGGCAGCAAAGAAAACCAACCTCCAAAAACAAATCGCATGAACACCTAACCTCATGAGAAGTTAAGTTGAAATTTACTGTGCTTGAACACATCCACATTTGTCTTTTGAACAAAGCATAAAACAACATTCCCATTATTTCTAATTCCAATGCTTTGTGGTGCTCCAACGACTTCCATCTTGCATGAAATTGCAGCTATATACAGTTGCTCAAAATGAATATATGCTTCAATTGTGTACAACTCACGAACACTAAGGAGCAGGGAATTGACATTCCACACGGCCATTGTTGCACCGAAAGTCATCTTTATTCTCCTTCTCTCCACCCCTCAAGAACTTTGACAAAATGAGAATAAAAGCCACACAATCGAGCAGTCTTGGGAAGTTTCGCCGAAATTGAGTTGTTTGTTGATTCACTCCTTTGGGATGACAATATACCACCAGAGAAATGAGTTTTGTTAAATGCTGGACACCATTTGTGACGATTTGAATACAACCGCTTCACCCATTTATCATCAGCGCAATTGTATGTATCACACATACTGAAGTATCAAGAACAATGTTACAGTATGAAATGAATATGTGTAATTGTATATTGAACATGTTCGTATAAAAAATGAACATGCCTAATTAACATGTTCGTATACTAAAGGAATATGTTCATATACAAAATGAATATGTTTAATAACAAAATTAATATTTTTTTATACAAAGTGAAAATGTTTAATAACTAAATGAATATTTTTGTATACAAAGTGAACATGTTTAAAACAAAATGAACTTTTTCTATAAAAATAAAATCATGAACATGTTACAGTATGATATGAAGATGTTTCAGTATTAAATGAACATGTTCAGTTGTTTAATGAACATGTCTACATTTTATTTGACATGTTCTTTGAACTTTTCCAAAACACAAAGAATAAGCACCTATTTAATATATGACAATGTTTCAGTATGATTTGAACATGTTTAATAAATAAATGAACATGTTTATATACGAAATGAATTTTATCTACAAAAATTATTATCATGAACAAGTTACAGTGAGAAATAAACATGTTTCAGTATTAAATGAACATGTTTAATTGTAGAATGAACGTGTTCATATATAAATTAAATAACTCACTTTTTCCAATAAAAATCGAATTCCGGTACTGTGTCCGTTAATCTAAAAACCAAATGAAAAAGATTGATGAAACCGGGCATTATCCGAAGATACTGAATGTGCTTTTTTGAATTCTTGTCAATATGCTAGGTGCATAAGCGATGTCGGGATTGCATTAACACCAATGAAATTGCAGCTGCCATGGCTGCATCTTCATCGGTCATTATTGTGGCAGGCTGCTTCCCACCCATTGACTTCAGAAATTCATCCAACAACCACTGAAATGAATCCTTGTCCTCATGAAGCAAAAAATCAACACCAAACATAATGTTTCTCTTGTGATGGTTCATCCCTGTAAATGGAGCACATGCAAGATTGTACTTAACTGTCCTATGAGTAGTATCAAATACAACTAAATCACCAAACACCTCATAATCCTTCCTCATGCGAGAATCCCTCCAAAAAATGGAACACAATGATGTTGTTTCCTTATTGAGATCATAATTAAAATAAAATCCATCTTCACGGGCCTGTCTTTTTTTCAATATATTAAGTAGGCCATTTGCATCACCGCCTTCCCAAATTCTCCGTTCAAGCTTTGCAACGTGGTTACGGGCATCAACTATTGTATAGGGCATATTTTGAACACCACGAGCTTGATCCGAAAGAACCCTATAACCAGCGGTAACACCAACTCCACTAGCTTTTAATTGTGACAAATACGCTACATCATTCGAAGGCATATCCCTGTGAG